CTTGTGAAACTTGATGCACATTTTCAAGTGAGTTCCACATGTGTTCTCCTTGCTAACGAATAACACTGTTTAGTGCTGGAGAATACAGCCATTCATATAAAAAGAGCAGGTGAATGCTGACTTAAGTCATGTGGTGTATAGGAGAGGGGATGTTGACTCTTTATTACCAATCTTCTCCGTTGGGATCATTGAGAACATATATTTACATGGGAAAATATATGATTCTGACTGTAGGGTCAATAAGCTAGCTCCATACATTCAACTCTATAGGTTCTTTGAAGGGAGGGATTTTGTACTTATTAGGTCATGGATTCCCTGTGCCTGGCATAGAATGTGTCATAGGAATGCCGGTTTGTTCTACTGAAATCCATAAAAGAAGTAAGCAGAGTGAATACCTTTTTTGTTGTTGTCATTGATCTGTTAATCATCAACATATCTCCTGAGTGCCTAAGGAGACTTTTTTATAATTGAACAAACCAACATTAACCTCTATTTTGGATATCAAGGAAATTTAGTCTTGGGCTTTTAGTATACATGACTTCTTGACATTTACCCTGTTTCTGCTTATGTATTGCCCCCAATACTTGGGATTTTAGTTGTTGCTGTTGGTGTTGCTTTGCAAATATTTGTTTCCTGCCCTATAAAATAGAATTGCCCTTTTTTGGTTTTGCGCTTCACCTTTAGTTTTGGGGAAACCACCATTGCTGAAAAGAAAATGGGATTTATTTGGGAAGGAGAGAGGAAAATAAGGTATTCACCCTGGCCTTCTTCCCTTATAAGGAGAACTGACGGGATGGGAAGTAGTTAGAGTCTTACCAAATGGTTTTTTTAGAGTTTGGGTTTTATCAGAACTTGAACCCAAACATATCAGGTAGATTTCTTCTTTTCAGTCTTCTGGATTTGGGGGCAGAGGGATTCCTGACCTACCCAGGTTGAATTAAGGGGAGAGGGAGGGCTGTTTGTCTCCCTGCTGTGGTCTCCAGGATACCTTCTTTAGTCCTTTGTATTCTTAGAAACAAAGTCACCTCTTGGCAGGAATAAAGGCACCCAGATGCCAGCGGTCAGGGTTTGGTTTCACGTCACCAGCCTGGGAGAGGCAGTGCCCGGTTTCCTTTGGCAAAGACAGCCTGCCCTTCTCAGTTCATTTCAGCCACTGGCGCACAAAGGTAACTTCCTCAAAATAGAAACCTTTGAAGAGTCTGTCTGCTGTATCTGCGAATCATTGTGTTTATCCTGAATTCTAATTTAGCTTCTTAGAATTTTGAAAACATTAGTTAGCTTTTTTTTTTATCTCCTTCTTCTTTTTTCTCAAATCAGCTTTCAGAAAAAGTAGAAAGTAGATCTGAGTGAGAAGGGTCGAGGCATTTTCTGCTGGGAGACAGTGTGGTTGATATTTGCAGCAAATGCACGGTCTGTGGCGTTGACAGGTCCAAGTTTTATTCTTAACTCCAGGACTATTCCCGGAAGTGTGACCTCAGGCTAGTCTGTTCATTTCTGAACTTCCATTTCCCCCATGTGTAATGACTTTAATAAAATGTCCCTACGGTGTCATTGCAAGGCCACGATTACCTGAGGTCACGTATGTAGAAAGCACATGGCACAGAGCAGTGAGTGGACACAGCTGTTTTCCTTCCTTCAGGCACAGGAGAGACCCACACCCCGAGAAGCTTGTTATGAGTGGGCCAGAATCTAGGATTTGAACAGTCACATGGCTTCACAACTTGCTCCTAGCTCTTGGCTTACTTGTGTTTATTTTTTCTTTGCTACGCAGGAGGGGTAGCTAAAGCAGGAAAGTTCTTTTCTTCTCCCCCAGGATCTAGTAATCTCACATAATGATAAACCACAACAATAGTAATCTTAGCTGCTGCGATTTCCCCAACACTAATTATATGCTGGGCCCTATGCCGAGCACCCTCTGTGCATTATTCCCTTTCATCTTCAGTCCTGTTGCGTATTATACATACTGTATCCCCGTTGCACATATGAGCAAAATTGAGATTTCAGATTCTCATCTGGCTCCAGAGTTTTTGTGCTTTGCGCTCAGCCCTTTGGTTTTTAACCATATCTTCAAGGCCCCTGTTAAAGTGTGATAAATTTTTGCCCTCCCTTCACCTTCCTGTCCTCTTGACATGTAGAGGTCCTGCGTTCCAGCAGTACACTGCAGGGGCCTTTGGATGTCAGGAGCAAAAAGAAAACGCAAGTCTCAGCTTCTTACCTCCGTCCCCAGCTCTGCCTGCCCGTGGGCGGCTGCCAAGGAAGAGGAGCTGAGAGCATGGTGTTCAGCAGACAGACTGTGGTTCTGGCTACAGGTGTCCCCATAGCTCTGCTCGTGTTGCCTCCTTGCCCATAAACTCACTGCCTGCAGGTGGCACACGACAGGGCAGAAACGGTACCTCCCCAATGGAGCTGGGAGGGCCCAGGAGCTTGCTGCCAGCAGAGGTTAGTAATACAAGGGTGGGATGGATGGACCTGCAGAAGGCCAGTCGTCCCGATAATGAAAGAACGAGGACTTCTGCCCTCAGCTCTCAGAATGGTGGGTAAGTGGAGAATGAGCAGAGGAGCTAGACACGAGACACACACTACTCATTCATCTTTGCCTCTCTGGCGGCCTTTACGCCAGTGTCTGTGTCCCCAACTGTGTTTTTTCTCCCTCTGCCCACTAATGAGAATGGAAGCTCATTAGCAGGAGTGCCTCATACATCTCTGTGGGCTTTTGTTTGCTTATTGTTGAAAAGATGATGTGACAACAACATTTGGGAACATTTACGAAAAGGTCAAAGACATTCCACTGTACCCCATAATCTCAGCTCCCCAACCTGTCAATGGCTTTGACTTCATTTTAAAACAAATTCTCTTCCGTCATAGGCATACTCTGTCCCTGCAGAGTGCTTCCCAGCCCTCGGTTTCACCTGAAAGCTAGCAGCTAGCTGGGTAGAGGCTGGGTCGATGGCAGAGCTTGACAGGGTCCCCTTCTTCATTTCACCTGATACCTCTTAGGCGTTTTGAAGCTTTTGTAGGGATATCACTCTGATGTTGAGCAGGAGAGGGGCTTAGCCCTCTCCCAGAAGATGCTGGGCCTTGGCTCCAATCCCCAGGTGTTAACACCATGGACCACTGACTTTGGGTGGGGTGTCGGGCCTCCTGCCCGTTGGTCCTGTGGCCAGAGATCTGGTGCCTGTGTAGCAAGTCATGGATTTAAACCAGCATTTCTTCAGGATACATCTGTAGGCTTTTGTGACCACATGAGCTTAGGAAACTTTGGGTTATACCAAGTTAAGAAATGTTTTTTAACTATGCTCAAAGAAGGGGGGTTTTACAAAACAACGATAATAGCTAGCATTTATCGTTTGCTGTTCGTTGAATCTGTGAGCTCTTTATATTTAGTTTCTCATTTAAATCCCAAAGCATCCCTAGGAGGCAGACGCCAGCACTTTCCCCATTTTACAGACAGGGGAGGCACTTGCCCAGTGTCTTAGCTAATTTTCAGTGGGCACAAAGTTTTGTGCTCGAGCAGGCTGAGTCCAAACCCCAAACTTTTAACCAGGATACAGTACTCGCCTGGTAGGCAGCTTTGACCAAGCTTTCTTTTATTTGGGACTTCTCATTTCTAATGGAGTCAGTACTCTGAAGGACTCTAGTTGGGGAAATAACCATTTAAACTTGAAAAGTAAGTAGGGACTGCCAGGTGACTTGGGACATGGAATTTCTTGCATGAGCCCTGTTGGGTTCTGATCTCCCCACAGCCCCGAAAGCCGCAGATGTCTTTGTGTCTCGTTAGGTTGGTGTTACAGTTTAATTAGCCCGAGAGGCAGGCATGGAGGGTCTGGAGTAAAAAGTGTAAGCCAGTGGTTCTCTAACCTGGCTGCATACTGGAATTCATTTAATGCCCATTAAAAATTACTGATGCCTAGCCTCATTTTCTGGGATTCCCCTGTAGTCTGGATGGCCCCAGGCATTGGTGATTTTTAAATGTTCTTTGAGAACCATTGGTTTGGATAACTCCTTTGTGGTCCAGTTAACATGTTTTATACCAAGCATGGTATAACACAAAGCAAGGAGAAAAAAGGGTTTTTTTTGTAAGTTAAGTGACTTAAACGGGTTTTGGTTGGTTGGTTTGTGAATGAGTGACCTGTGTTCTCTGATCACTGGCCCCATATGACCTGTACCATGAATCCTCTCCATGAACTGTTCTCCTGACCCTAACTTTGCACTGACAACCATGTGCTGACCGGCCCTTATGCAGAAGCTTTAGACTGGTTACTAAGCGGACTGGTGAGAAAGGCTCAGCACTCTTACTCCTGTTGGAGGGAGTACGTGGGTACCATTGCCCAGAGCATTGCATCCGTGCTGTTGCTGGGGGAGCTGGAGCAAGAAGTGCATTCTGGGTGATGATGTTAGTGGACTACACACATGCTCCTCATTGGGCTGAACTGTAAATATTGGGCTTCAAAGGGTGTTGCTGTCATTTTCAGTTGAGTTAGGTGAAACTGGGTGATAGAATAGTTTCTTGGTTTGGTAGTCAGGTAACTTCAGGTGTTATTTACTACTATGTCTCCGAAAAGCCTTTTTGAGGGAGAATAGATACCCCTGTCAATAAAAGACAATGATGGTTTTAACCCTGAGCTATGATGGTTTTTTTTTTTTAAGATTTTATTTTTTTATTTGACAGAGAGAGATAGCGAGAAAGGGAACACAAGCAGGGGGAGTGGGAGAGGGAGAAGCAGGCTTCCCGCGGAGCAGAGCGCCCAATGTGGGGCTCAATCCCAAGACCCTGGGATCATGATCTGAGCCAAAGGCAGATGCTTAACCAACTGAGCCACCCAGACGCCCCTATAATGGCTTTTCTGAACATCTTCATTTTTTCAAAGGCACAGACCCTAGGCTATTCAAGGTGTAAGTCCGGGATTTTGAGACCACTGCTCTCCTTCCAGTTCAAGATGGATGTGCCCCAGGTTGACCAAAGGGTTTGTAATGGGAATGTTTCTGTTGGTTTCTTACAGTACAACAAACACCTCTTCGTGCACATTGGGCATGCCAACCATTCTTACAGTGACCCATTGCTCGAATCAGTGGACATTCGTCAGATTTATGACAAATTTCCTGAAAAGAAAGGTGGCTTAAAGGAACTGTTTGGAAAAGGCCCTCAAAATGCCTTCTTCCTCGTAAAATTCTGGGTGAGTAAGACATTGCTGTGGTGGCGGTGGGTTTCGTCTGAATGGGCACCTCCTGTACGTGAGCGCGGAGCAGCGCGGCTGGTTATGGGTACTCGCTGACTGCACCTGGGGGTCTGTCCTCAGGCTGGCCTTGTGGTCCATCCTCAGGTACAGACGCACCCAGGCAGCATTTGGTGTCCCTGCCCAAGAACAAGAGAGTCCGGAGGCCTCTGTGGGCTTCAGGGCTCACTCCTGCAATGGCTGGAGACTTCACACATGGCTGCAGTTGTGATGGAAGACACGGGGCACTAGCCCCTCTTTCTGTTCTCACTCCATTAAGCCGAGAGACCTATAAAATTCCACTGGAGCCCAGGACCTGAGGCAGAATGGGGCTGGGATGAAGATAAAGTTTCATGCTTCCAGATTTTATACGTGGCAGAGAGAATACAAAATGGCTTCACGCAGTATGTGCCTCATTTGGGCTTTAAAACAGCAAGGGTGGATTCCCCCAGCTGCTGGGGCTTGTTGCCGTCTCACGGCCTCCGAGAGGAGCTTTTCTGTTCTTTCTCCACTAGTCACACTCAGGCCAGGGGACGGCTAACAGGTCACAGGCGTAAGTACCACGTGTGTATATGGGAGGTGAGGATACCAAGGCTGCACGACAGATGACCTGTTAGCAATGAGTGTTTCTAAGGCTTCAGTCTCTAGAAAAATAGAAAGAAAATCTCTTCAAGTGTTTGCACCCCTGAGCATAGCATTTAAAGGCCCCAAGTGAGCTGGTTGCAGGGTGTTTTCCTTGCTAGCTGCCCTGTGCCTAGCTGCTCTGTGTGTCTGATGGACTTCTTCCCTTTCCTTCTCTCCCATGGGGCCAGCTCCTCCTTCCTTTGAGATGGTGGCTCCTTTATTATTATTTGCACCTTCATCCCTTAGGCAGACCATTGATTTTCCTTTTACTCCCAGTGCCTTTTGTAGTTAATCAGTTCCCATGCTGGGTCATTCCTTCTATGTGTGTCCTGCTCCCCCTCTGGACCCAGGACTGCCTCGGGGGCACCTTACTCCTAACAGTGGCTACCATTTATTGACCTGCTGGGGGTTGGGGGCCGTGCTGAGACTTTCCACGCACTTCCTCCACTCCTCACAGTGTTAAATGGGATTTGCCTTGTGTCCAGCTAAGAAAACAGAGACTCCGAGATTACAAAGGACAGGCTACCTGTAGGGTGGGGCTCCGGACCTTGTAATTAGATAAGTTTGGCGGTAGTGCCTCTGCTTTGTTTTCTGGTTGCTTCACACCCTGTGAACTCAGCTATTGGGGCGGGGGGGGGGGGAGTCCTGTCCACCGAGGACTCTCCATTTCTCCAATACCAAGCAAACGCCTTCCACAAGAAAGCCCAACAAGTGGATAAATGAAGGAAAAATATATGTTTTAGGTTTCTTGGAGAACTTCCATATTAAATTTAGTTTGTTTAGTTTCTTGTATTCTTACGTGGTAACTAGATTTCATTTTTCATGGTTCTGTTTTGAATTTGGATTGTGGAAATAGCCTTCCACTTACATTAAGGTTCTTGGGATGGGTAATACATGTGGGTAACCTGAACAAGCAATAATACCTTTCTAAATTGGAGGCTGCCACTCGTGATTTGAATGGTGTTTGGAGGTCAGTTATTATGTGGTAACAGGGCAGTTTTCAAAGTATGGCCTGGGGACCCCCAGGGAGTGCATCAGTAGCCCTTCAAAGGACTGAGAAGGCCAGAAATATTTTCACTACGACCCTGAGACATTATTTGGCTTGTGCAAGCTGCTGATATGCACGCCAGTAGTTCAAAAGCAGAAGGGTGAAACTGCTGAAGCTTTAGCTTAATCGGGCGGGTGTGTGCGCACAGTTTAAAAAAAAAGAGAGAGAACGAGTTACACCAAGAATGTCCTTTATAAATTTTACGACATCTTGGACCTAGAGTACACATTGCAAATGAATGCATTGAGCCTGCCTGCCTGCCACCTCAAGGAAAGCAACTGACACTATGACCAAAGAGAAAATTCCAGCTTTCTAGTAAAAATAAGAATTTTGGAAAACTCGTATCCACCACCATGAACTTGACAGCTTCCCAATACTTAACAGACTTTTCTGGTGAGATCCACAGCCATATTAACGAGTGATTTTATTTTTTTTTTTTTTGGTATTATGTAAGATAAACCAGTGGATTTTCATGTAATGGAGTTTGAAAAGTTCATTGATACAGTTTCAGATTCCACACTGCAGCTAATTTTTTTAAAAAGATTTTTATTTATTTGAGAGAGAGAGAGAGAGAGAGCATGAGCTGGGGGAGAGGCAGAGGGAGAGAGAAAGAGACACACAGACTCTCCACTGAGCAGGGAGCCCAATGGGGGACTCGATCCCAGGACCCCGAGATCATGGTCTGAGCCCAAGGCAGACGCTTAACCAAATGACCCACCCAGGCACCCCTACACTGCAGCTAATTTTTAAGAAACCATCACTTGTTAAGTTTTGGTGTAGTATCAGAGAAAAATGACCACAGTTATCTGAAGAGCCTATTAAAATATACTTCCCTTTTCTAGCTCCAGATTTGTGTTAGGCTGGATTTTCTTCATGTTACTTCAGCCAAACAACGCCATCAGGACAAACAGTTAGAAGCATGTTTGAGAATCCAGGTATTTTCCATGAAGGCACACATTAAATATATTTCCAACGTGTCAAGCAGTACAACCCTTCCAATTTTTCTTTTGTTTTTGAAAGTATAGGTATGTCTAATTTAAAAAAAGAGAAGATGTAATGAGTTTTTTTTAAGTAGGTAATAAATATTTTAAAAATGCTCTCAGTTTAAATTTCCAATACAGAAAGTATAGAGAGCTATAACCTGCAGTAACAAAAGCTCTTGGAGGTCCTCAGTAGATTTTAAGAGCAGAAGGGGGTCCTGAGATCAAAAAGTTTGAGAGTCACTGTTGTGAAGGATATAAAAAGAGGCCGTTCTACTCAAGTGAATTATAATTAATCAGAAATGGTAGGATATGATGAAAGGAAACCATTTTCAGTATTTTCAAATGAAACGGTATTGGTTTTTAGTGATAATAAAATTTCTTATAATTAGCATGTTATTTGGATATAAAGTGGAATGGAAAGTCCTGAGAAAGTTGTTCTTGTTTTTGCTTCCAAAATTTCCCATTTTGCTTGGGATGGTCTTAATAAATGCTTTCAGTGACGGGGCCCTTTGGTCATGGATCCCCAAGTAATGAGGTCTAGATTGCAGATGTGTCGAGTGTGGTTGCTAGTGTGAAGTGTCCAAATGTAGAAACAGTTGCCCTGAGATTAGATATATATTTATTAACATTTGAAGGATTAAAATTGAGCACTTCGATGAATGTGGTGGAAGACTTCACTCCTTCAGTATAATTGTGAGTGGTACTTAGCCTTTATAAAAACATTCAGTCGCAACAATGTTAGATGAGGAGAGGCCATTTGAATTAGGTTTACAGTTTGCTGCAATTTGACATCTCATTGGCTTCCTCTAATGCCTCAGTGAGAATAAATTATACTTAGAATATCTATCCTTGGATATCAGGAACGGGTGTTTCTTAAGTAGATTCAACACTCCCTTTGAAATATTTTGTGTATCAGCAATTTGCTTAGCAGATTTCCTTGGTTTTGTGTGAATTCAGTAAATTTCAGCAGAGATCCTACACCTGATCTTTATTCTCCCCGCTTTTTTCCTCCGTCTCAAAGTTCCTGAAGTCTCTAGGTTGTCAAAATCAGGCTGACTCTTGATTTGCTCCTAGGATTGCTCCTGAAACTGTTTTCCGAAGAGCAGCCACGTGCAGCCTGGGCTCAGTCGGGCTAGACAAGGTCAGGAGTTTGCTGTGGAGGATGTACTGAGTGCTACCCCATGTGAGTGCCTGCACCTCAAGGTGAAGGGCGTGGTGGCACCAAGTCGCAGTCACTCCGCTGTTCTCAGGCTGGAGGATCCGAATGGCACCCGGGGCCTCGGGCCCCAACACGGAAGTGACTGGCAGAGGCAAGGAAGCCAGTGTGGGTGCCCCTACCCTGTTAGCCTTATCCTCTCTCATGCCTTAATGGTGGGGGACACCCAGAGGCCCCTGTGGATGGCTGTGTATCTGGTGAGATCTTTTTTTATAAGAGCCATATTGAGGTATAATTTAGAAACCATAAAATTTGCTCCTTAACATTCAGTGATTTTTAGAAAAATTTACAGAGTTGTATAACCATCACTATAATCAAATTTTAGACTATTTCTGTCATTCCAAAAAGATCCCCTGTGCCTATTAGCAGGCGATCCCTGTTCCCACTCCCAGCCCCAGACAACTACTAATCTACTTTCTGTCTGTACAGATTTGCCTTTTCTGAACATTTTATGTGAGTAGAATCTTTTGGCGTGTGGTCATTGGCACCTGACTTCTTCCCTTACATTGTTCTGAGGGGCATTTATGTTACAGCATGCCACTAGTTGGCTCTTTTCTATTGCCTAGGACTAGCCCGTCATACGGACATACCACGTTTTGCTTATCCGTTCACTATTGATAGACTCGTGGATTGTGTCCGCTTTAGGCTTTGACCCAGTAATGCTGCTCTGAAGTCTTTGCGTACAAGTCTTTGTGGGGACATACGGTTTCATTTGCAGCATTTTTCCTGGCATTTTTCCATAGGAGAAGAATCGCTGGGTCACACGGTAACTCCATGCTTAACCTAAGAGACTGCCAAGCTATTTTCGTAAGTGGTTTCTACCATTTTACCTCCCCGCTGGTGAGACCTGAGGGGTCGCTCACCACCTCCTTCGGCCACCGTGGCTGCCAGTATTAGGGGAGGGAGAAATGACAGTGAGCAGGGTAGCTAAGGGCCTGGCTAGCAGGAGCACCAAGATACAAGGGTGAGGCCCATGCGGGGGAGTTGAGGTGCTTTGCAGCTGGGTCTTGGCTTGTATGGAAAGCACGGGTGGGTGGGAAAATTAGGAAAGACAAAGAATCAGGGTTTGGTTGTGTCAGCAGTAGGGAAC